TATAATCACATGAAATCTGAATATTTGTACAACATTTTTAGGGCAAGTAGGCATCAGATTACTGTTAAGCATTGTTAAATTGTCTCATATAAAATAGATATATATAATCATCCTGCAGTATATGTATCATTTTGTTATCCTCATTTTTAACACTATTAGAAAACATTTCTATTTATGGACTAATAGTCTCAACATAAGTCTTACTTAAGTCTTTAAAAACATAGGGCAAATTATTTTTGAAAGTGATCTTCAAAAATGTATGTGTTATTAAGTTTAAGAAAATTGCTACAGATAAGAAAAACTTTGAGCTCAGTTCAAGGCAGGTTGGGAAAAAAGAAAAGCCAATTTCTGGGTATTATTCAATTCGATTGTAAACACTGCCTAGGTACTCAGAGTAAGAAGGCCCAGGCCAATGGCAGAACATTGGACTGGGGACTATTGCATAAATCCATTATCAGTAAGAACTGCATGTTGAGTAACAAAGTGAACCAAAGTTAGAACTATGTTCCACAAAAGGAGACACTAAAAACATTGGCCATTGTTTCACTTTACTCCAAATGGATGAGACAAGCACTTTTATCTGAGAATTGATAACCATAATCCAGGGATCAGAATTCATACTTACATCAAAATAATGAACACCTTTTATGCAGAAAACATTACATAGAAAACCTTTATGCAGAAAGCAGTCTTATTGGTAGTATTTTTACTTACCTGGTAATTAAAAACCACATTTTTACTTGAAGACTTCACCTTCAACCGGAGTCTCACAGGACTCTGAAATTTCAAACACACACATGCACACTTATATAAAACATACAAAGAAACAGGAAAAATCGGCAAAACTACACAGCAAATGTCATACCCACAAAGATTTTGGGAATTTTAATTATAGATATAAACATTTTAAAATGTAAAAAATAACTGCCTATAAAAGTGACCTGTGTTTATGTGTGGGGGTGGGGGAGGGTGGAGCAGGGCTGGGTGCTAATGGCCAAAGCAGACTTCTGGAAAATTAAAAATGTAAAAATGAAAATTGGAAACTCAGTGAGCAAGTTATATGGCATGTCAGAGACAGGTGAGAATAAAAACAGCTGGGAAGATTTTCTAGCGTGAGACACAAAGATGCTAAGGGGAAGAAAAACATGAAAGAGGATAGAGCCTCTTTCAGATACTTAATCAGAGTCCCATATGGGGATAAAAGGTGGGGAGAGAAAATATTCCAAAAGATTAGTCTGACCACTTCACAAAATTAACAAACGATGGGAGGGAACATTTGTCCAGAAGGCAGGATTGGGGTCAGCATCCAAAGCTAGAAGAATCACAGCAAAGCTGCAGAGTATTAACGACAACGGGATCTTTAAAAAGTGAGAGAAAAAAAAAAAGCCAGATGGAGTGACAGTTAGACCAGCAGCTGACTTCTTGACTGCACCCAGGGAGCCAGAAATCACAGAAGAGTACTTTGAAAGTGTGGGGAGAAAATAGAACTAAAGTTGCGTGCCCATAAGAACTCTCAAGAAAAACATTCTAGTGAGAAAGAAGCAAAGCTAAAATCATTTCTTTGCAGAGTGTCAAACTGACAAGCCTCTAAAAAGAAGTAGACAACAAAAACACTGATGAAATGAAACTTAAGCACTTATTGAGAGAAATGCTCTTGAACAGGTGTAGAAATGAAGAAATCCTCTTTGAACAGGTGTAAATAAACCTGCCAAAAATTAAGTGTTGTCTAGATAAACAGGAGATGTTATCCAGAATTTCACAAATTTGTTTTCAAGTTTATATGAGTGAAAGATCAGAGAAAGACTAAGATAGAAAAACTTATAAATCGGATGGTAATGTCTTCTTCTAACACTATCGTACTGTGTACTGTTTGTGTAGCGACAGACAAATTAATCAATGCCCTGGGTAGGAAAGCTCAATGAGAAAAGGATAAATCCTAAGGGGTTGGATATCAAAACAAACACATGAGAATGATTTCCCATTAAAAACCAAATACAAAAATGTAAGACAAAATTTAAAATTTAAAAACTGTATAAAACAGTAATTTTAAAAATACAGTAATTCTTTTTTAGTAAGTTTTCTTTATTAAATGAAAAACATGTGAAGTATAATCTTTAAAATAAGTATTTCCTGAATTTGAGAGCATTAAAGAAAACACTAAAAAATTGTGACAAGCTACAAATAAAGAGTTAATATTTGAATCACATAACCAGTAAAAGGTTATTTCCAAATAAATACATAATTCATAAAATCAGTATGGCAAGGGAAAGTTATAAAAACAGAAAGTATGTATTTTATAGAACATACATAAAAACACAAACTGTTAACACTCTGACTTAAATTCCAACGAGAAAGTCCACCAGTTTTTGTTCTTGGTTTCGACGTAAGTAGGAAAGCCTGTGTGCATCAGGAAGGGGAACAATGGGGACTGCAGAGTGGTTCTGAGATCACTAATTGATACTATTACTTGAGAAAATATTTAGGAGAATCTCCTCAAACTGAAGGTGCACATGTCCTGTGAATGATCAGTGTCATGCCACAAAGTTTTGCAAATAAGCTCTGCAAGTCCTGTCAAGCTAATACTCACTGTTTTGAAAAAAAGAAATGTCTGTTTAAGAAATGAATAACTATCTACAACATTGTGTAGTATGCCACAATGACAGAAATGAATGAACTATAATTATCATTAATATATGAGTCTCACAAGCATACTATTTGATGATAATGGAAATAAAGGAAAACCATTGAAATAATTAGCATTTATATGAAAATCAAAACCTTATTCATTAAACAGGTCAGTTAGTAATATATACTTGAGGTTATGACATTATCTGAAATCAAGGAATCATCAATGCTAAACACAAAACACTGGTTATCTAACGATGGAGATATACTTTCTATTTTTAAACTGAATTAAGGTACTTTGTTAATTTTGCTACTGCTTTGGTTGGCTTTATTTAATTACCATAAATGTATAATTCACATAAAATTAAAAGCTTAATGAATTGTCAGAAAGCACCACATAATTAGCACACAGTTAAAAAATAAAATACGCATGCGCCTTGGAAACAAACTGTTTTTGATGCCCTCCAAAGTCAATCACTGTCTTTGTAAACTTAGTGCACAAATTCCAAACCATGTCACTCTGCTTTTGTCTGTGATTTTCAATTAACGGGAATGAAATCATCAGGAGTTAATTGTGTGTCTGACTCCTTGTTCAGCACTATGTGAAGAGGTTCGCATGTGTTGTACATGCTGTGGAATATATTGTAGGACTTTGATTTTCATTATTTATATTTCTATGGTATTTTAATATTGCTTTATTTCTGCAGATAATAGGGTAGTCCCTGGTTTTGGCATACTTATGGGTAATGAAGCTGTGGTTTTGTCCGTGTTTCTAAGTATCTAACATTTTTGATGTTGCCTTCATAATAGTTAAAAAGACTAAATATTTGATCTTTTAATTAAGTGTTGCATCATAAAATAATTTAAAAATTCCTATCCGCCTACTTAATAGGTAGTGATTGATATTATCATCCTTGTTTCACTTTGTGACACTATATGGAAAAACAATTTTTCTATTTTTAATTTAAGTGTTCTTTTTGAATTTCTGTGCATCTCTGCCCATTTTTATATTTATATGCTAGTCTTATTTCTAGTTACTTATTTCTTGCAACCCTTACCCTTTCTTATTGGTGTAAAAATGTTTTTATAATTTATTCATTTTGATTTTTACAGTTCATAAGTTTAATGGTTTGTCTTTTAAACTTTCTTTTTATGATTTTAAAGTAAAATATCATCACTGTAAGCGTTTTCAGGAAACGGAATTTAAAAACCATAAAGTTCTTAAACTACAAGTGAAATGAATCTATTTCCTCCTTCGTAATTAATTTTCACATTTTGGTACACAGCTTTTCTGACTCTTCTATCTCTCTGTCTCCATATAAATTTATACACACACACACATAAATATACATTTGTGAATATGGAAATATGTATATTCTATACATATATGAATTTATGTATTTGCATACACACATGTGTCAGTATTTTAAAAATAGCTATATATTCATGCATAGAGACCTAATTTTCCTACCTTAGGTATTATTTTTGCTGCTTAATCAGACACCTTTTCCTCCCTTACCAAGTGCTATAACTTACAACATCATTTAAAATATATACATGATAGTCCATTGTTTATACCAATAATTTAGTGTAACAAATATTTATTTAGCCTATTTTTTCATTAAGCATTTAATGCCATGTAGCAGGATCATTATTTTTTGCGTGGGGAGTAGACACCATGCACAACTACTGCAAAATGGAACTTGAATGTTGAAGGAGAAAACGTACAGTCAACAATTTTTTAATGTAGTATAAGGTGGTGATAGCTGCTAAGAAAAACAAGACACGGAGAAGGTAGAATGTAATAGGTTGGCCTTGGTTCATAGGTTACTCAGTGAAGGCCTCATTAATAGGGACATAATAGAAGTATGGGAACACGCTACCAATCTTTGGGACAAAAAAAACACAAGTTGCAAGGCAAGTTGCTTTTGTTTTTAAGCAGTCTCATATGGATTTATGTGTATAATATCTTGGAGGAACTATCCTTGTTGAAATGCTTCCTAAATTTTTACAGCTGTTTTGTTTTTTCCCCTAATTTTCAAACCATGCTGTCCTTGTGCATCTTTGCGACAGTAACCTGTGTCAGAGGATGTCAATCTGATGCCATCTTCTTTCAAAGGAGCTTTTCACGTTTGTTAAGAGAAGTTGAATTTTTAGGAAGAAAAAGGTATTTCACAGTCTGTTAGAATATGGGATGTTTAATTCGCAATATATATAGTCAAGGCAAAAGATGGAAATACTTGCTCTTGGCTATACTGCTAAAGAGTACTTACTTCTTATGCTACGCGGTTAATTTGGAACCCTTAATAAAATAACTTTTTTTTTAAAATAAAAATGAAGGGTTTTGAGATGCAAATATTTTGCTTCCTCCTTAGGTGGCTGATGCCACATCATTCTCAGGACCTTTCCACGTGCTGCCGGTGAAGACAAAATGGAGTAATGTTGACTTTTATGTTCTTCTGTTTGATCTGGAAAACCTTCTTGAACTTCTGCTGCCTCCACTCAGAGATGGAGACCCTTCCAGTTCATTCTATGGTAATGAGATCCTAAGAAGAGCCAAGAGCACAGCAGAGAAGAAGACAATAAAAAGAAATAAAGCTGCCTGTAGTCCCCTCCCTGCCGAGGCACAACCTATGCCTGTCAGTGAAAACCTGGTCCAAGGAGATCACATCAGCAAATTCTTTGAAGAAAATGATGGCATGAAAAGGCAGAAGAAAATGAAGTGTTCCAAAAAGATGCATCCTAAGCTGTTAAGGAAAGTTGATACCAACCTCACTGTAGACACAGCAAAACTGTTTCTGTCCTGCCTTTTGCCTTGGGGAGTGGACAAAGAACTAGATAATCTCTGCATTAAGCAGCTCAATATTTTAAAGCTTCAAGGTCCTGCTTCTTTAGGACTTGCTTCAAACAGAGATTACTTCTCGTTAATGCTGCCAGGCTGGGATTTATGCAACACTGAAATAATGAAAGACTATTCGAGAGTAAATTTATTTTCCAGAAAAGTTTTGGAACTGTCAAATAAATACTCAGCCACTCTTCTAAACCATGTTGGAATACCAAGAGAATTGGAAAGTAGTTGTGATTCCTTGCAGGAATCAAAGACTATAGCTTATTTTTTGAGCAAACTCTTTTTAATTAATAAATTAGTTAACATGCCTTTAGAATTGACCTATGGAACTGGCAGGTAAGAAATGCGTAGAGATTTCAACCTAATTTGAAATGTTAAAAAATATATATCTTTGTTATCTAATTGAGCTCACTTCCTTCATTTCTTCTCATTCGGTGGTAAACAATGATTTGTGAAATTAAAACTATTTAGAGAAGATGGCCTTTTTTATTCTTTGAGAATATAATATCCATTGTTTTCATAGTATTGCCAAAAAAGTCTTAGTGCTAGATACCAAGTGAGTCAAGAGATAGATATGTACAAACGTGTCCATATTTCAGAAAATTCATAAGAAATGTAATTGAGAGATGACTATTTTGATACAATCAGTGTTGAAATTAATGTCAATTCATACCTATATACAGAGATTGACACTTGGAAATTCATTATATTCAATGTGAATTAAGTATGAACAAAGAACATTTACATAAACGCTTATATTGAAATGTTGCATATATATCAATAAAAGTTTGATAATTTCATCCTATAAAACATATGTTTTACTTTGTATTTTGACATATTGAAATAGAAGAAAGTATCCAGGAATTTATGTGTAGATAGCATAATTTAGTGAAAATGCCTTTGTGTTAGGAAGTATTTAGTATCTACCATGCACTGTGTAATCCTTCATTTAATATGCATGTCAAAGGGATATAGCCACTATTATTTTGCTCATTGTATAGATGAGGGCATTAAGATTTACAGAATTGTCAAATCTAACAGTCATTTAGTTCCTCAAGGCTAACGTAACACAGCGCCAGTCTAATTCTAAAACCTAACTAATTAAAGTCTTGATCATATTTACCTTTTTGTACTGTTGAATTACGGGACTGAATACAGCTCACCAAGTATTTACTTAGAAACCTCAAGTAAAACTTAAAAACATCTTTACTGACCTATCAAAGAAGTATGAAAGAAGCTTGACTTAGAAGCATGATAAATATAAATATAATGATATATATATATATAATATATAATATTATATATATAAATATAATGAAATGAAAGCAAGTTACAGAGGTTTAAGAGAGAAACAATTGTGTGTTTGAGTGGAGTAAAGAGAATTGCCAAGTGTGAGAGGAAAGCATTTGAAAACCTTTTTAAAAGATACTCTGACTGCCCACTACATGGCAGTAGGTAGTCCCTGAACTTTCTATTCTTTGATAGGATCTGAGTTCAGCAGGTATCTGTGCCAGCATGGTGTCATAGACTTCCTTCCCTCAGGCAACCTACAGTCTAGTAGAAATCCAAATGCAGCGTTAAGGATTCAATGTGATGCTTCTCTTCGCCTTATTATGCTTGTGTGTTATAAGATTTTCAATTTCTGCATGGTGATTCTAATAATCAGAAGGCGGGGATTGGTAAATTTTGTGACTCAGTTATATAAGTTCATTTTTTTGTTTCTTTGTTTAAACTTCTAAATCTTTTACAAACTTCAGATGAGTGCTTACTTTTCCCTTCTTTCAAATGCTAGGAAAATTACATAACATCAGTGTATGCTTAAAGAAAACATAATCTGAAGACATATGATTAAATCTTGGCTTTCTTAAGACCAGCTGTATGAATATGGCCTAGTCACTTAGTCTCTCTGTTCCTTACTTATCTATTTTACAAAATGTGGTAGATAGGATGGATGATCAATAACATTTCTTCTGAGTCTTACAAATTTGGGATGGAAACAGGTGTTTCTACCCACCCCCTGCCCATCCTTAACTGTGTTGCCCCAGAGCAGAGGAAAGATTTAGTCCTTATTGGCCAGGGGTTTTCATTCTGAGTTTGTTCTTTCTGTTTTTACATGGCATTGTCTGTACCTTTAGGCAAGCTTATGGGCTTTCCAATGCCTTTCATTAAATGGCCCTTAAATTTTGCCACAAGTTGTGTGATTTTTTTTTTTAAAAGAAATCCCTCCTTAAAACAAATAAGTTGTGCAGTGGAGGTGCCAGGATCTGAGACTGCTTCCCTAAATCAGTCACTGCACATTTGATCTACTATCAGAGCAGGGGTATATTTCAAGAAATCAGAATAATGTATATTGGATTTGTCACACCAAATCCTTCCAACAAATTGGGGCATTTCACTGACAGTTTCCTCTGGTTGTGAAAGCTGAAAAGTCCTTTTATGGTTAACAACTGGAAACATTACTTAACCGAATTCTAAGAAAATTACTGTCAGCCCATGAATGCATCTCTAATAATAGCTAAAATTCCTATAACTGAGACATTGGCCCAGAGCAAAGACTAATGAGACCTGGGGAGAATCCTTTGACACAAATGTCATCATTCTTGGTTTCAAAAATTTATTGCATTAGCTAGAAGTCTTGTGACCCAAAGCAGATTACAGATAATTCTGGTAATATATCTGAAATTCAACTGAGATTAAAGTTTTTTTTATTGAAGCAAAATAGGAAAATAATATGCAGAGAAGAGATTAATTGGAAGATTCCAAAAGTCATGTCTGTTCAACTCCTGCAAATGTTAATTTGGTTATGCACTTATATCATCAATTTACTTTATTTAGTATTTTTCCTATATCTTTAATGTTATCGTTTCAATCTTTTTCCTCCCTCAACAGTTCCTTCAAAATGGAGTCTGTTCATAAGCTGAAAAGTCCAGGGAGTGATATTTTGAATATGTCAAGCTTCTATGGTTACCTGCGAAATGGTAAGGGAATTACAGTCATAGACAGTATATGACATTTTCTCCCTAATGTTAGAAATTTTTGCCATTAATCCAAGACACCAGATGCGGCAAGTTACACAGGAAGTCTTTTCCAGCAAGACAGGTGGCTATGGGGAATGGCTTTATTCCATCCAGTAGGCAAGGCAGCCGCAGGTACGCGAGAGAAAACAGAGCAGAGGAAGATGACAGCACGAACGGGGAGAAGGCAGAGAGCAAGGAGAGAAATGAGAGAGGTCTCCTGCCATACGGACAGGAGGGAACTGCAGGGAGAAGGAGAGAGTTGGGCGAGCCAAGAATCAGGAGAGCCAAGAGCTGGGAAAGAGACAAAGGAAGGGGGCTTGCTTTTATAGGATAAGGGTGGGTACTGGGAGTGCTCAGTCACGGGGATTGGTGGATGTGGAAGTAGGCAGGGGCCAGCGATAAAGGGCCACAAGTGATCGGTAGATAGGCTGTCAGGGAACAAAATTGGGCATGGAACTAAAGAGCCTGAAACTGACACTTAAATGAACTGGAGCCTAAGGGAAGCAACTGTTTAGAGCTGTGGCATATCTAAAATCGTGCCGCGCGGTGAGAGTGGGGGTGTATCAATCATCAGTGCTAATGTTGGAGTCACCCCTCACATCTATGAAATCAAATAACTGAGAGCTGGCTTTGTGGCAAAGTGACTGGGTCACTGCTTGCCAAGTGTCCTAGCTACTCTGCTTCTAATCCATCTTCCTACTAATAATCTGAGAAGATAGTAAAAGATGGGCAAGTATTTAGGCTCTGAATCCTGGCTTCAGCCTACCCAGCTCTGGCTTTTACTTCCATCTGGGAATCCAGATCTCCCAATGGCTGAGGGTCTCAAACTTTTGGGCCATCCTCTACTGCTCCCGGGTCACAAGCAGGGAGCTGAGTGGGAAGTGGAGCAACTTTGATAAGAACCTGTCCCCATTCAGGAGCCTGGCATTTACAAAATGAGGATTTCACCATTGAGCTATTGCACCCGGCCTGGAGTGTCACAATTTTTTATAAACTGCTGTGTTTATAAACTGCTGTGTTTCCGGTTCCCAAAACAGTGCCTAGAAAGAATTAAATACGCAATATTGCATTAGTAGATGAATGAAGTTGGTGAATGAATGCAATTGAAGAATAAATAATGACTAGTAAAATGCTTTTGGAAATAAATGGGAGAATAGGCTAAAGTTCAAGAGCCTGCTCTGCCACCTACTGCTTATGTGGCTAGGACATGTCATTTTTTTTCATCTTTTGAAAACCGTGTTCCCTGTATGCATGTAATGGGAATAAAGTTTCAAATTGGTTGTGCTTTGTGCTTCTGGATTTCCACAGTTAAATGACCTAAATAATGGTGTGGCCCTAACAATAAACAGTGCATCATGGTCCTCATAGGAATATCAAAAGGAGCTCTTAAAGTATTTTCAGATGAGAGCTTTAAAAAAGAAGTTTTACTTATTTTTATTGGAAAGTCGGATATACAGAGAGGAGGAGAGACAGAGAGGAAGATCTTCTGTACACTAGTTCACTCCCCAGATGGCTGCAACTGCCAAGGTTGAGCCAATCTGAAGCCAGGAGGCAGGAGCTTCCTCTGGGTCTCTCACTTGGGTCCAGGGCCCCAAGGTCCTGGGCCGTCCTGTACTGCTTTCCCAGGCCGCGAGCAAGGAGCTGGATGGGAAACGGGGCCGCTGGGACACTAACAGGTGCCCAAATGGGATCCCGGGGCATGTGCAAGGAGAGGACTTCAGATGCTAGGCTAGTGCACTGTATCTGGTTGAGAGCTTTTTAATAGCTTTTAGTCATTGAGTACTAATGGATATGCATATAGTATCTCATTTAATATAGGCCCAGTGCTTCACCCTAAGAGCTGTTCTGTTCATTCCCTGTGGAGGCCATTGAATGATGCCCTCACAGTCACACAGCATGGAGCAGAGGAGCCAGCAATCCAACCCAAAGTTCATTCTGAACTTTCTCTTTCTACCAGTTCAGGTCACTACTCATACTTAAATCAGAACCACCTATAGTTGTCCCTGTTAGGGTTCATTATCCACTTTTTTTTTAAATGACACTGGGAATTGGATTAGAGTTTAAAACTTAACATCCGTGATTACACAAAAACTGACACTTGCCAGCCAGAACCAACGAGGCCCTTGGTTTTCTTACGGCTGTGCCAGAGAAGTCTGAGCAACTGGGGTATTTCTGAAAACATCTCCCTGATATTTAGAGTGGCATCTATAGCATTTGAAATTCAGAGAGGCACTGAGGAAACATGAACTGTTTTTAAATAAGAGATGGCAGGTGAAAGAAAAGCAAAGATTCACGACTTGGCTTAATTTTGTAAAACCAAAGCCCAAAGAATAAAGTAATACCCTGAAGTGCACTTTCAAAAGGGTTGACAGGAGCCAATCCTCACTTCTGTCAGAACGAATGGCTGGGTACTATTGGAAAGCCTGAGATGTTTTCTTTTTATCTTCCCCCTGAAGTTGCAACTAATGCTTTAACTCACTGACATTGCCAAGGATAGTTGGCTCTCCTTTCACTCTCATATTAAAATTTTAACATCCACATTAAAGTACCCCCCGATGCCAGTAAGTAGTTACAATGGAGACCAATACTTAGCTTTGATGGTTGTGTCACAAGGTCAACAGAATGAGAGAAAAAAGGTGAAAAAGAATTTCTCTTACCAGCTGTGTTCAATTGGAAATGAAAAATAGGACTTCAAAAGTGTGCTCTACAATACTGGCATGTTTTATATTGGTATGTAGTAATTACAGTCAAGTGCTCTGTTGTCAGAGAAATATGTAATCATTAGAGTTTTAACATTTTTAACTTCTTAAAAATTTATTAAATAATTTATGATATAGTTCCATAGGATCAGGAATTTCACCTTCCCGTTCCCCAAATCCCCTCTTCCACCAATTTCCCTCATATTATACTGTAGTATTGTCCTTCAGAAACAGTCATAAGGCCATCATTCTGTTTAAGTGTAGGACAGTGGCTTATTGTCAAGATGTATTTAACAGTTTCATTAGTCATCCATCTTTCATTTAGAAGTAGAGAGGCATACTGCATTGTATCTTCATTTCTTGGTATGATAATCTCTATTGTACAGTTCCTTTAGGTGATTACACATATTTGTATGTTTACCTACATATGTATTGTTCTTGCGTTTTGCATGAAAATTTCCTTATATCAGAGAGAACATGTGGTATTTGTCCTTTGGGGATTGGCTTGTTTCACTGAGCATAATGGTCTGTAGTGAGGACCGTTTTGTTACAAATGGTAGACTTTTATTCTTTTTAATGGCTGAGTAATGTTCCATAGAGTAGATGTACCACACATTTTTGGAAGGAGTGAGCTTTTGGCATGATGGTGAAGATAGCCCTTGAGAAGCCTGTATCCTGTACTGGAACGCCTGATTTCAGTGGGAGTTCCTCTCCTTCCAGTGGAGCTCTCTGCTGATGCATATCCTGTGAGGCAGCAGATGATGGTTCAATGACTTGCATCCCTGCCACCCAAATCAATAGCCTGGATTGAGTTCTAGGCCCATGGTGCCAGATGGACTCTGGCTTGCCTCCTGCAGACATTTGGGGAGCAAAGCAAAAGGCAGATGCTTTCTCTCATCTCTGTTTCTTGCTCTGTTTTTCCCTGCCATCTTATATATTTGTTTTCAAACTGTGTTATTGCCTGAAGGCCTTCTGTTTCTTTTCCTTGGCTGCTAATATATTTTAAAAATAATGTCTTAATACATAGAATGGCACTTCAGTGAAAAGGCACATTGAGCAAATATTTAAATAGTTGATACCAGGATGTCAAGCACGTATTAATATATTCATTTAAATAGACGATTAGGGCAGCAATTCTCCGATCAGTGCAAGCCCTTAGCATTCCTCTCTAACTTAAACCCAGGGTCTGACACCTAGATAATATACTTTAGCCATCAGGAAGGTTTAATTCATTGATTTTTACATTCAGATGATTATATGTACATTTTCAATTAATGAAAAGGTACTTATTAAGTGCTTTTTTGTGTAAAGGGCTATTGGACACTATATGGATCAATTTAAATAGACCAAGCTCTAGCTCACTCTGAAAATTTCACTCCAAACATTAAGGCAGATAGATAGAAAGGACATTCCAGGGGGCAAACTTAAAAGAAACAATACATAGCAAAATGAGTCAAATTGACACATTAGTGCCTTACCTATTGATCAGCATGGAAGAACTAGGCAAAGAGAAATCAAAGGAAGTCCTCGATTTGATTGTTTATGTGATACTGATCCATGGCATGATAAAATTTCAAGAACTATTTGTATGGACACAGAATTGCAAAATTCAGTTAATCTGGCGAAAAGTGCAAGAATTGGTTATAGTTATAAAATTGAGTTGGATTCAGTTTGAGCTTGTGTAGTATCACTGATAAAAATGCACAGACATGTGTGCATATGAATGCTTCCTAACCATGAAATTCAGTACTTGGTAAGAAGCACTAATGCCTGCTTCATTCCTGCACCCAACATTCTGGAAGATAAAACCTAGGCATTGTATTTGCAAAGCCACACTTACTGGATGATTTTAATATGCAATCTAGGTTAAGTACCATTGAATTGCAATTTTTAATACTCTCAAAATGCCAACGTGTTTTGTCTATTTCTAGGAAAGAATGAATCCCATATGCCCGAGGCTGACCTGTCACTCGTGAAGCTGATTTCCTGTTGGAGAGATCAGTCAGTACAGGTAGGATGTTGCTCATGTTCTTGAAGTTATGGGAATGTCCTATCCTGCTGTGACTTACTGTAGGCTTTATCTGAACAGAATGAAAAGCACTCTTGTCCTTTCAAAGCAGCCTCCCAATGCATTTCTTCTCACAGGCCTGATGCCAGGACAGGGATGTGGGAAACCAGGAAAGTAACTTAAGCGAGAATACACAGGGCAGGGAGCAGGGAAATTCATGCTCAATTTCAGCTTAAGGTTTGCGTTTGACATAGTCATCTGCTATTTGATTTCAAAATGTGCTGTGACATTAAAGCTCCTACATTTGGGAATCTTACGCAAGATTAAAACTCATTTTTCCACCCTGGAATCGAATATGGTTTGGGCATTCAAGTTTTTTGATTCTGTCTCCTTGCGTGAAACACTGTCAATAGGACAAATGTAACTAGAATATGTGCTGTTCTGCCAGAAGCCCAAGCTTGAAACTCCTCCTCTCATTTCTGCTATTAGTCTGATGTGTGACTCTGGAAGATAGATTTACCATGTTGGCTTTTTCTTCTTCCTCACATGTGAACTGGGATGAGATTTCCAGGGCCCTTCAAAATCAATATAGTCTCTTGGAAGTGTATGTTTAAATGTCTGCGTAACCAATCCTAAAATTCTTATAAAGCTTTTCCTTTAAGCAGCGATTTAGATTGTGTTAGCTAATAGAACATTCGTAAAACACATCAAAATTTGACTTAAAAAACTGAATACTTACTTTAAAGGACAAGATAAATGGCTTTTATTTTTACTATTTAAAAAAATTTTTTTTTGCAAAGCAATGAGTTCATATAGAGCCGTTCTCTTTTGCTTCTCACATATGAAGTATTCATCACATTAATAAATTCTGGAAAAGGTGCAAGAAAATTTGGGTGTTGCAGCTTTGCATGTTTCTGGCTGGGTTCTTAAGTTCTTTGGATTTTATAACTTGGTGCCAATGAGTACAATGACATGCAGCCTCCAGTGAGAGGTGTTGCTTTTTCAGGAAACACTGCAAAGATATGGAAGGGCAGCGTGAATCAGTGTTGGAAAAATGGTTTTATTATAGAATACCTGAACATTGGCAAAATAAGCAGGATGTAGTGTTTCTTTGAGCTTTTATTATGCTCTGTGCCAAGAAGATGTTAAAAAAAAATGTTGCTTATGCAAGACACAGGATATATTTCTAGTAATATATTTATGGTTCAAATTTGTGAGTGCCTCTTTCCAGCCAGTGGATTTATAAGCCTTGCTTTAATCTCAGAACAATTCCTCAAGACATAATATAACACTTTGCATAGTTACCTTATAAGGGAAATTTATTTATGTACATTGTGAAGACAGTTCTTTTGCCATGGTGCTCAGTGCTAGATCATTGTTAAAATCACAAGAAGGAGACAGAGATGGAGAAAGATATTTTTCATTTCTATACCCTGGCTCACTCCCCAGATGACTGAATTGGTCAATGCTGGGCCAGGTCAAAGCAGGGAACCCCAAATCCTTATCTTATTCTCCCATGTAGGGTTCCTTGGTCATGTAGAGGGAGCTGGATCAGAAGCAAAATAGCTGGGCAGGAACCGACAGCATCCATATGTGATTCCAGCATCACAAAGATCAGTGTCACCTGCCACTGTGCAATGAAACCCCTTAAACTTTTATGCTTTGGTGGAGAAAATGCTATCCTTACTCTGTACAAAATTGTTCGACTATGCTTATATCTATATCCTGGACATTCCAAATGTTGTGTTATAAAATATCAGTAAATTGTATTTTTCACAATTCCTGTTGTGTAAGTATGGGGAATCCGTTTTTAATTCCATCAGCATTTATTTAGTGCTCACTGTATACCAGACACAGCGATAACCTGCTTATAAAATGTTCCACTTCTCTGAATGGGAGCGATGCTGAGCCAAAGGGCGTATATTGTTTCCAGTTGGATGTGTACCATCTACTAATCATTTTGTATTTTTGTGGCTCTAATTATTCCACTCATGATTCACATATTTTATTCCACTCTTATTCCTTTTTACTGTTTTTTTGGATCACGCTCATATTTATTTCATAATGCAAATTTGTAGTAAAAACTAAGCTGCTCAGGGTTTAGCAATTAACAGTTAAAAACTGAAGTCATGACATGCAAATGTAATAATCCAAAATATTACGATAGATTGCATAGGCCCTTGTATTTATTTAAGAGGGAATATCAGTGCAAGTTAATTTAGGGCATTTCATCTAGCGGGATAGATGATATTTTATATCACAGTTGTAAGTACTCTAAGACATAATGATCACTCCAGAGTGAAAGAGAAGCTGTAAAATCAATGGAGGTATGTGGTCAAACCATCCATTCTGAGGGATACACTGGATCCACATAGAACATAGATCTTCAACATCCTCCTTCAGGTTTAGATATGTGTAGGGAAAGTTCTACACAGTATTCTGTTATTAGAAGCTCTCATCCTAATCTCTCTCATTGTCTAAGGCTTTGATAATCGAGGGCATGACATTTCAAGGAAGTTCATGAATTCTCAAAGTAATCCTTGCTGTAAATATCTAGGTGGATCAGAAATTCAAGCCTTCTCTTTCTAACCTGTAGTTCTTCCTAACACATCTTACAATCAATGCTGTGAAATAATAATGTGTGACAAAGTTAAAATGAAATAAATTCAGGGACATAAAGTAATTCATCATAAACAATTAGTACAATATATCCCATCATGTTATATACATAAATCTGCCTGTTTACCGATACTATGAGATGCAGTGGCATGCTACTGAAGTACCGTACACAGTAGTAGTACATTATCATGTATCTTATTATATGGTAAATGTCAATAGGCATGATTTACAGCACTGTGGTATATGAAGCTCTATATTAGATTCATGATCTATATGTTAGACTCATGTATCAGTGCAGTGCTGACTGCTCATCACGTGATAGTTATGAGGACATATAATATACTTGTATGACAGTACATACTATTACATGTACGTGGTACAGAACTGAACCAATCAGAAGCCAGGAACCAAGAGCTTTTTCTAGGTCTCCCATGTAGTTATTTGCAGGGGCCCAAGGGCTTAAGCCATGCTCCTCTGCTTTCCCAGGACATAAGCAGGAAACTGGATCAGATATGGAGCATCTGGTACATGAGCTCGCATTCGTGTTGGATGCCAGTGATGCAGACAGAGACTTGGCCATGGCAGTGGCCCCTCCTTATTTCTTAGTGTTAAGGATTCTAGGCAAACTGTCACTAGTTTCCACACTGATGGGTGAAGGCAAAGAATCCCGAGTGGACATGCACTACAGAAAGGACATGGAAGTAGAAGTCATAGGCCTGCCCAATAAGCCTGTGTAACCCAGGGATGTTACCACCAAGGTTTTTCATTTTTAAAAGAAAGATATTTCATAGATGCTCCCTGGCCAACATACCCTGGCCCTCAGCCCAACCACAGGTGCTTAACTGGCACTGCACATACATTAGAAGGAATTCTTTATAAAATATTTTAACCTATCATGAGCGTGCGCAGAGTGTAGTGATAGTTACCATCAAAATTCTGTGACTTTCTGTGTTAAACAATGCTTAAACCCAGTAGTCTTAGCTAAGTAATATTAAAGCTAGGCAGAATTTGAGGGATTAATTTTATCTTCCAGAGCAATAGGATAAAAATTAAGTTTGCCTGAAGTTAAAATTAGTTTTAACTTCAGGAAACAATGAAAATGTCATAATTAGAAATACTTGTATACGTCTCTCAAGCATTCATTCAGAACCTCTTGTGTTTACAAAAGAACAACATGAAAGTCTGGATTCTCATCCTCATGACCCACAATTAATTGCTTTGGATGCTAATTCCAACACTGAACATTGTCCTTTATGGGAAACTTCATTTTTTTTTTCCTAAGTAAATACTCCAAACTTTGGATCTTTTGCAAGATCGTCCAAGTCTTTGAAACCATAATAAAAATAATTCATAATAAACCTTTACAGGTAACCGAAGCAATACAGGCTGTACTTCTGGCAGAAGTTCAACAGCACATGAAGGTTTTAAAAAATGTGCCAGTCAGCAGCCAGCCAGTGTCCCTGATGGAGAAGGGCAACTGTGAGCTACAGCAGATTGTCCCAAAGAAGGAATGGGCTGAGGAGCTAGAGTTGCAGTATGTTAGAACCAGTGTGCCTCCGCACAGTGAGTACAGCATTTCCTGAATTTCTCATTTATTCGAACTTCTCTGCTATTTAGAGTACACTTCTCTGATATTTAGATCACAATATGTAACAACTGTGAATCTCAACTCGGGTGCCTACTTTTGATCTAGCTTGCTATCAGTTCTTTTCTGGCTGTCAAGTTGTTGAAGATATTGTAGATTCCATTACAATCATATTTTTTTCTAGAAAAAAGTTTGTTATTTCTAATAATACTTTGAAGTTAAGTGATTATAAGTGAAGACAATTGAAAATAATAGCTTCATGGGGATATATTGTGTAAGGGCAGCCTAAAACTGGTGAACCCTAAATTTTTTCTCATTCTGTAGCTTGATAATCAAGCTATATCATCGCTTCTCAGCCTTTTGGCTAATATCAAATGTGATAATCAAGCTATATCATACAAGAAATTAGTCTTGTATTGTAGTAGAACCATTGATTTTATAATGTTATCATTGTACCAAGTATGAGCAATCTTTAAGGTTTATTTCTACAAGGTAAGTCAAAACTTACACTGTAAAATGATACCTGATTCTTCAGCCCATTAGCTTATGAGCATGAAAAGCAGTTTTAAAAGTAAGTACTGAGTTCACGCTCTCCCCTGGGAAAAAGTAAGTACTAATTTAATTTTCATCTTTGTATTAAGCCTTTTGCTAATTAAATTGATAATATAACTAAACGTGTTTTTGTAGGGAAAGCTTGTTAAAATTTACCTACTCTAGGTTCTCAATTTTTCATGTACTTCTTTAGCTCTCAAAAAAGAAACTTCCTTTATTTGGGCTCATATAAATATTTCTATATGTATTTACAGTGTTAAATCAGGCAAATGCGATTATGGAAATGTGTTATCATTATTTTTAATAAAATTACTGATAGGAAAGTATAGTATAGTAAAAGAAGAAAAAAAAACACATAGTCAGTGAAACTGAGAGAGCAAAATAGGTAGGATTTCTTAACTCTACAGTAAATGCTTCCGTTGCTCCTGACTTCAGTGAATAATTTGCTAAAGCTAGAAGGCTGCTTCAAACTATGGGTTTGTTTGTTTTCCAGATATTAGCTTCTAATTCTCTGGTAAATTTATCTTTGTGAAGGAGCAACCTTTTGAGCCAATCTCATTATTATCATTGTATTGTAACTTTCAAGAAAGGAAAATTCCATTTCATTTAACTTGCAGTGAATCTATTTGAATGCTAGACTCAGGGAGACAGCCAGCCCTAATGTCACTGATGGGCCTTTCCCTGCCATTCCAAAGACAGTGTCGTTCTTCACATGTTAAGCTCTCTGTGTGTGGCATTTCTGAGTCTCAGCCTTGGTCTCAACAGTCTACTTGATGCATTGCCAAAGGCTTCCTTCCTGGGTAAGGTTTCTGTAAGTCAACCAAAGTAAAATGTAAGATGAGTTATGTTGTCAGGTGGCCTACCCATCTCTGAAGGTTTCCTGGATTGAGCCAAGTTCTGTACCCGGTTCACGCTCTGCCTTAAGAGCTGGTTTTACTATAGAACTTAGTTACTGTGAGTAACAACACTGGGATTTTAAGTTTGTTGTTAATTATAGTTGATTATAATTTATTATTAATGTCAAAATGTTCAAAGTTTATATATTGTTTAGTGAAATTTAGAATATTATTTTTAAAAGTGTAAAAACATTCATAAAATTTGAGTACATGTTTTCTAAAGCAATTCCACCTCCTAGTAAATATTAACTTTAATTACATTTAAGTTAGAAATTTATAACATGCATTGAGGAAGGAAATATCCAAACAGTATTATTAGATATTAACGTTGTCCTTTCCACCTTGATAAATGTGCCATTTTAAAACTATTTAAAAGAACTTAGTAAAAGTATGTAAAAGATCTTTTTTAGTCTTGTGCCACATTACTTGATGAGATGAAAAAATAAATAAGCAAAAACCTTTTTATTTCAGATGTTCTGGTTAAGGAGAAATATAGGTGCTTTTTACCAGATAAATATTTTTTTTTTTAATTTCAAAGTCCAACTGGCCTTTCCCTAAGTGTCACTATGCTGTGTATTTTCATACACTATCCTTAGGGTAAATGACTTATAATAATTAATTTTGTCAGATCTTTGCTATTTCTCTTTTGTGAGCTTTCCATCCCATCACTGATTTTTTGGAAATTTTGTTGCAGGGTGGGAGTGAGATCACACCAGACAAGTCTAGAGTGTACTCAGGATTCTTTAGTAACCAAGCTTGGTGATAATAGGACACACTAGAAATTAGCAAATGACAAGTCCATGTGGCGATCCAGTCTGAATTGAAATCCCAAGAGGTCATTACCTTGAGGTCTATCCATTAAACTGAAGACCTATGTTCCATCTTCTCTAGCTGTATCAGTTATCCTAAGATATGTGCGGCGAACAACCTGGACCCACTTACAAAGCTGGAAACATTCAGCTTTTCCTGGCTTCTCTGTCCATGTTTTGTTACTGCTAAGCCTCACCTCTCCTGGAACTCTTGAAGGCACACAAATTAGAAATATAAAGCATCTTATCATTGCCTCTTCACTGACTCGCCCAAGCGGTGAACAGAGGGTGAGGAATACAGACGTACAGGGGCCATGCTTAAGGGCTACCTGTCCTCAAAGTCTGCCTGCAGGAAGCCAGAGAGCAAGCAGGTACTGGGGAGGCCAAGAGTCAGAGTGCTAGAAATATAGAAGCATGAGACCAAGAGAGTGAGCCCTTCCCTATCATGGGCCTTTGCAATGCAATACCACTCCAGCTCAGGTACCAGGTGATGATAGGCAGGTGTCACAGGTGGGCAGAAGGGACCACATGAGGGAGGAGGAGCAGTGGGAGTGGCTTCCAAGCTCATGACCCTGAACTAACTGCCTACCCCACAACATTTTTTTTTTTTAATTTTACTCATTTGTTGGTGATTCATTTTATTTGCAAATAATTCGAACATAAAATATAATGCTTGGGTTATCCATGGATAATCTTAAACTTCCTTTCTTGCTATGATGAATTATATTTGGTTTATTAGCCTTATAGGAATAGGGTAATATTAACTCACAGGGAAAAACCTACAAAAATAACAACTGAGTTCAATTAAAAATATATATGTATTTGAAAGACAAAAAGTGGGATGGGGAACAAGGGGAGAGATCTTCCATCAATGACAGGATCACCATGTGCTGCTCTCACCCTTCCTCCCAGCACACAGGGTGTGCATAAGCAGAAAGCTGGAATCCAGAGGAGAGCAGGGATCCTAACTGCTGAGTGACATACCTGCCTCAGTGAAGGAATTGCTTCTACATTCTAGTACTGTGCCAAATTCTTATTGACGGTTATTCCCACTTTTTTCCTTTAATTCTCACCAAAGCCACAGTAATCCTGTCACTCCTCTTCCAGAATTCAAGTCCTTTGTGTAAACAACTTTCGTTTTCAAAATGTCTGTGTGTCTGGAAGTGAAGTTTATCAAATTACAAAAACTCTACGTAGAGAGCAGTTCCCATGGTGCCACCTAGATTTGTACTGAGAAAACATCTTTTAATTAGAATATAATAGTCATATCTTTCCATATATATTAAAATAAGTAGTATTAAAAATGTTTCAAAAATCTGTCTGTCCCCATACAAGTTCCTTTGATTATTCCACTTCTTAAATGAGTAAACTGTGACATAAGAGAGGTTATATATCTTGTATACAGACACAAAGTTAACTGGAACTCAGAAGCAATCCCAGGTATTCTCTGCAAGACCATACTCTTATCCAGTAAACTATATTCTGCATACTGGCAGCATAAAGAAAATTTGCCCTAACTCAGCTTGATCTATACATTGAATCATTTATTGAGTGGTTCTCTCTGATTTTTATTCTTCTCCCATAAATCATAGTTTCAATTACCAAAGAAAATGCAGAGTGTTCAATCATTGCCTTCTCAGACTTTATAATAAGGAAGATCAGCTCACTTCTGGAACTATTTATATGAGAAGAGTCTGGAAAGCAATGGGAATGGTGGAGCCAGAGATGAAGCCTGTACTATGACTGTACTATGTGCTTTTGTGTCTTATTTACTTTTCAAGGTTTTCGCTTGGTGTATTTCATGGCATGAATTTTACTTGATGTCTTAATATGCCTAAATGTTTTATGTGAGGGTGGCAGAATTTAACTGAGTTTGTAGTTTCCTAATGATCCCGTGGCTATCTTCCTGGCATCACTCTAATAAGACATTGTACAATTAACGCTCACATTGGAGTCTCAGATCCATTGCTTTAAACACAGCAATAGTTTCTATTATTAAAAATGCATTTGGAAGTTCCATTTTCTTTTTCTCAGTGCTGTTCGGATCAGTTTAAATGAAAGCTCTAAATTATCCCATTAAATAAATTGGTTGAAATAGAAATGGAGCTTTGTAGATAAAACTGTCACCTTGGAATTATTGGCTGAATTTAAATCTCATGTTAAACCGTGTGGTTGTGAACATGATGCATCAACCGCGGGTACTGCAAATAATCTTTATTACATGCATCATTTTCAAAGACTTATGCAGAAAATTAAATAAAGAAAATGTGCTTCTTGTTTAAATAAAACCATGCATTTGTTGTAAATCAAGGAAATGAGCACTCATTTGACAGAAAGTTTCGGAGATGCTGCTGAATTCCCAACTACAGCCTGGTATGGAAGTCCAGGTTTCAGACAGGCTTTGGGCATGCTGCAGATACTCAAAAGGCAATCCTTCTAGTTATGGAAGGCTTTTGAAATAAGGTTGAATTCCAGGGAAATTCTTCCGTGGCTGTCTGTGTACTGCAAGTGCATTGTTTTTTCCACCCATTGAGAGCTCTCCAAGCCCCAAGGATAAACTTATTCATGGCCACATCCATCTTTTAGTAAAGTTCTGTAATATAAGCAAGCAAGGAGCAGAGAAGTCAGGATGGACACATCTCAGAAGGCATAGGATTTCCGGTGGAGGTTTGGGGTTTTCTAGGAGAAAAGAGAAATCATTTGAGCGGATGTCAGACACCT